GCCTGGTGCTGTCTGCTCCCCTCATGTCACAGCTGAGCCATGGCTATGGGGTAACTTTAGGGTGGCTGCTGTGGAGGGAGAAAAACCATGGGCTGCTGCAAGATTCAAGCTTCTCTCTCCGGTGGAAATAGATGGGCTGTCCCAGGGTGTYTGCTCTGCCAGGGATTTYCTGTTGCCATCASCAGTGACGGCACCAGAAATCAYTATCCACTGCCRTTTTTCTGACTTCAGTGTGTCAAATTGGGTTTTCAGATGCTGCAGAGCCCAGCTGGCAGCAGTTGGTACGGGCACAGACAAGAGTCCAAGAGAGCTGGAGAGGGACTTTGGACAAGGGCCAGAGGGCAGGGTTAGATGGGATATTGGGAAGAAATTCTTGGCTGTGATGGTGGTGAGGCCCTGGCACAGGTTTTCCAGAACAGCTGTGGCTGCTCCTGCATCCCTGAAGGAGTCCAAGGCCAGGTTGGATGGGGCTTGGAGGAGCTTGGGACAGTGGAAGATGTCACTGTGGTTGGCAGAGGATGGACTTAGATGGGCATTAAGGTTCCTTTCAGCCCAAACCATTCCATGATTCTCTAAATATTATTAGAGAACCTGAATTCCCAGAAACTGCCCATTCCTTGCACTAATGGCACTTTTTAATTGACTGAAGGCTTCAGTGGTGGTGGTGGTGTGACCAAAAGGGTTGTGACAGCTCCTCTTGACCCCTTGGGAGCAAAGCAGACACCAGCCCTTGAAGGGTTTTGCTGCTGCCATGGAGGGGCTTGGCTGGGGCAGAGTAGCGCAGGAGAGCAGCACAAAGGGATGCCACTGTCCCTTCTGCAGGTACCAGCCCTGTGCTAACACTTGTCCCTCGGTCCCGGCAGGCAGCCCCATCACCCCCAACTACATCGACAACTCCACRTCCAGCATAGCTCCCTGGTGCACCTGCAACGCCAGCGGGAACCGGCAGGACGAGTGCGAGAGCTTCCTGCACCTCTTCACCAACAACATCTGTCTCCGTAAGTGTCTGCAGGCACCTCKGCACGCTCCTCAGCTTCCTGTGGGTGGGGACATGGAGATGCCGGATCCTCTAGAGTCTGTCCAGCTCCATGTGTCACCAGCAAAGGAGCCCTGGAGAGCCTTGGGCATCCATCAGCTGATGCAGGCAAAGGGGCTGCAAAGGGATGCTTCCCCTGCCCTGACAACCCTTTCTCCATCTCTTTCCCACACCAAGAAAACGCCATTCAGGCCTTTGGCAACGGGACTCACCTGAACACAGCCGTGGCCCCGTCCATCCCCCCCACCACACAGATGTACAAGCAGCAGCGAAATGCCAACAGAGCCGTGGCGACCCTCAGAGACAGCAGCTTTGAGCACCTCCAGCCCACCAAGGTAGGACAGGGTGGGCCTGGCCCAGAGATGTTATTTGTACTTCCTCCAGCCTCCTGACCTCCCCTGCCTCTTCCACCTGTGCCATTTCAGTCACATGCACACATCCAACCTGCTCTCCACCTCCTGGATGCTTGATTCACCCCTTCCCTTCCCTTCCCTTCCCTTCCCTTCCCTTCCCTTCCCTTCCCTTCCCTTCCCTTCCCTTCCCTTCCCTTCCCTTCCCTTCCCTTCCCTTCCCTTCCCTTCCCTTCCCTTCCCTTCCCTTCCCTTCCCTTCCCTTCCCTTCCCTTCCCGAAAATGGTTCATTTAGAAGAACTGGGGTTTTCAGCCAGGACCACTGGTTCCTCACCCTCCTTCAGTGAATCAGTTCAGCTTCAGACGAGCATTTCAGCTTCCCAGGGCACAGTTTCCTCCCGTGTTAGATGAAGATTCTAGAGGTCATAATGCAGAGGTTTAACTAAGGTTTTCAAAGTATTGGAAAATTTCAAAGGAAAGGTTCCATTCAGCAGATTATTACTATCAAAATCATATTAAATTATTTTAAAACAAATACCATGTTCATTTACTGATGATGGCAGCATAGGCATTAAATATTTTATTTTAAAATAAWACAGAATGACCTTGACTTGCCACCCACCAGAGTAATTTTCAGATTCAATTATTTTCCTATTGAATAATTAACAGTGACCCTGATTTGCTGAATGTTCAGGTTACAGAAGTTGTCAGTTTTAACTAGACTCTAAGGACTGAGCGTGGGCTTTGCACTGGGCTGGCTGATACCTTTAGAGAACTTCCAAATGCAGGTTATTTYAAGGCTTATCACTGTTTCCTTTGCTGGCAAATCACCTCTCTCCACCYTGKTTTTACAGAGCACCAGGTTGGGTGKAGAAAAGTGTCCTCAGGTTCCCTCAGKKCTCTCCAGGGCACTGCTGGCACTGRGGCAGAGCACAGGGTTCCTTCACCAAGCCATAAGAGATCTGGAGGATTTCCCCCACGCCGGTGCTCCCCAGACCTTAGAGAAATGCAAGGAGTGGCCTCAGGTCTGGACACTTGCTGCCCCAAGAAGCTGTGCCCTGGGAAGCTGTTCCAGGCCAGGCTGGACAAGGCTTGGAGCAGCTTGGGGGTAGTGGAAGGTGTCCTTGCCCATGACAGGGGCTGGAACTGGATGGCCTTTAATGTCCCTGCCCACCAAGGCCATTCCATGGTTCCACGATCAGCCACACCTGTCACCTCACTCTCTTTTCTCTTTAGGTGGCTGCAGAGGAGAGGCTTCTGCGTGGCTCCACTCGTTTGTCCTCAGGCACCTCCAGCCCAGCCGTCCCTTGCTGCTGGGCAGCCTCTCTGCTGCAGATGTGGCTTCTCYTCGCTCCTGCTCTGCTGAGCCTCCCATGATGTGAGCAGGGCAGGCACACACCAGGCACAGACTCGATTGTGATGGTTTCTTTGCTAAACAGAGCAGTAACTTTTTCAGGAGGARGTCGGGGAGAAGGGAGGGCACGGGAAGGCAGGGTGACTGTTTGGGAATCCCTTCCTCCTCCTCCTCATCTGTCTGACACTTTATTTGATTTGATACGATCAGCATTGTTGACAACCAGCTCATTCTTGGTCCTGGCCACCTTTCCACACCACAGCYTGGTTGTTGTTTCTCCAGCCCTCTATGGATGGGGTCAGAGCCATAGACAATTCCCTTGGGAATGATGAAGGAAAGAGTTGATTCAGAAGTGAGACCTGCAAAGGAAAAGCATTTCCCTGCACCAGCCAAGAGGGGAAAGACTGGATGGATGGATGGATGGATGGATGGATGGATGGATGGATGGATGGATGGATGGATGGATGGATGGATGACCTGTCAGGAGTTTCCTAAAGCCCTGACTCACATGAGGGGCTCTCAGCAAGACATGTCAAGTGATGTGGAGTTCTCCAGGGTTGCTCAGGACCTGAAGGACAGCTCACCTGGTTCCTTCAGACTGAAGAAACCAGAGCACTGGTGAGAAGGTGTTTGGATTTGTTCACTGGAGAGGAACCTGCAGCACCTCTGGGGAGGACAAAGTAACCACACTCCAAACTGGCTGGCAGGGATTRTCCACACTCTCAAAACCACAGCCAGAGTGCATCCAGCATCCATGTCCCCGAGCTGCCATCTCCTCTCCAGGCCTCCTTCTTAGGGRAGCCTGTGTCATGTATTGATGGTATTCTGGAAGAAGACACGTGTTGTGTTTTGTTTACGGCTGAATTTTTTGTGTCCCAACTCAAGCATCTCTATCTACCGGTCCTGAACAGTTTGGGGCATTTTTTGTCAGGTCCAAATAACCAGAGGCCAATAATGTCCCACTCCAGGCTACCCTTTCTCTGTCAGGGGTCAGTGGGTGAGCCTGTGGGCACRATTTGATGTAAGCCCAACACATCCCAGTCTCACATGATGCCTGTTCATCCACTGGTCTCATAGGCAGAGGGTCTTCAGCCAAGGGATTTCATTCATTTTCCTAGGAAGAGATAGGATGGGAGAGATTTGCTAAATACCACCCTGAGGACAGAACTACCCAGCCAGAAAAGGCCGAGTCATTCATTATGTCACGGGTAGGGATTGACTGAGGTTTCCCCTCCTTGAAGAACTGGCAGAGGTGACCACTGTGTCTGGGTGAGCGGGGGAAGGATTTGCATCTTGCCAGGTCCTGTTTATTCAGACAAGGTKTCATTTAAGCAAAGGCKGCTGWAGTGACCCTTTCTACTGAGCTGCARTCAGAGCCCAGGGGAGGAGGGCGAAGGCAAATGTCTCTCTGGTGTCTTGGGGCACAGGGAGGCAGATGTGTGGCCTTGGACTACCTGAGCATCCCAGAGTCCTCCCCTGAGAACAGGAGCTGAGGAGTCCCAGTGCCCCTTGGGGGGCTGAACCCCTTTACCATGCTAAGCTGGGAAAGGAGATGGTGAGGAAGAGGGAGAAGGTTTCCCAGGATAAATGTCTACCAGGCTGAGTAGGAACATGGGAGGAACAGCAGCAGCTCCAGAATTCCCCTGAGTATATTTAGGCCTGGTCTTTGCAGCAGTCCATTTATTCCTTGGTTTGTGCTCCTCCGATAAATATCATTAATTCCTTGCCATTTGAATTCATGGAAAGGTTTAGGAAGCATCTGACACAGCAAAGTCCATTGTTTTTTATTCCCAAAAAAGCTTCAGATTTTGCTGCAAAACTGCAGCAACTTGCTTGGCTTTTGTTCCAACAAGAATCCCCTCTCGGTTCCATTGAGCACTGTGCATGTGCCTGCCATGAGCAGCAATGGTCCTGCTGCATCCTGGACAATGTGCTGCTCCTTGAGCTCCTCGGGGCTGCAGCACCTGCGTTTCTAATCTAAGACTGTGCAGAGGAACGTGCCAGGCTCCAAGGCTTGTGTGCAGGGTGGCAGCTCACACCCGGAGCCAAAAGTTGTGTGAGAACTTCACRGCCAAGGGGCTCACCCAGATCAGACAAGGAGGGAGAGCTGCGGGCAGGAAAGTCCTTCCAAAGTGCCCATATCTGTGCACGGAGTTGCTGTGAACATCTCCCCTTTATCCAGGACATCAGCATCTTCTGAGAGACAAATGACACACCTACCAAAACGTGTGTCCTGTGAGCTGCAGGAGAGGGATGGAACCCGGATTGCTCAGCCCTCCAAAGGCAGTGAACTACCTCAACACCACGAGGTCATGCTGGCAATTGCCTTCCTCTGCCCCTTTCCTTTCCAGTCCTGTAGTCATGCTCTGCTTTTCCACATATCTGCCCCATCAAACCTGTCTCCAGCAGCTTTTAATTKTGCCCGGGTGGCGTGTCTGCATGGGATATAGGGGTACAAGTGTCAGCTGCATCAGGAGCACTCCAGTGTCCCTTACAAGTCATTGTCAGTGATGTTCAAGTGCCACTTTGCCATTTCCCTCTCGTTCAGCAGASAAAGAGTTTTTCTGGGTGGTTGGGATGCCTGGTGACCCCACCTCACCTCTCCCTTTGGACTGGTTTGCTGTAAAAGAGAGGTGTGGAGAATCCTACTGAAGGACAGGATGGGATGGAGGAGACCTGCAGAAGCTGTCTAGTCCCAGTACCATCAGCACCTATTTTAACAATTTCAATGACAGACATCRTCATCTCCCCTGGATTTATCTCACAGAATCATGAAATGGGTTGGGAGGGACCTTAAAGTTSATCTYATTCCAGCTGCCCTGCCATGGGCMGGGACACCTTCCCTAGACCCAAACCCACCCCACCTGCCCTTGGACTCTTCAGGGATATCTCGCTTTAAAGACTCTGGGGGTGTTGTCTCTACAAATCACCTCCCAACAAGACCCTCAGCTCTCTGTCCCATCCTTTGTGTCCTCTCCCAGGCCAGGTCCTGCCCTCCTGGGGTTCCCCGTGGTTCAGGGATGCTTTGAATGAAGTGAATGAGGCACAGAGCAAAGAGCCTCTCGCCCAGCACAGAAGATTTAGAGGAGTGGGAATTAGAAAAAAAAGTTATCCCCCAACTTTCATGGCTTTTTTCTGATCCTTTCACCCTTTTCACCATTATTTAATGTTGATTCTCCCTCCAAGCCTGTTCATGAATCACACTTTGCAAAAAAAGGATGACTTTTGAGCCTTTTTTGGAGGAAGGAAATGCAATTACTCTCCTTCCACCCACCCAACATGTGTGCACAGACCACTGCTTTTTCCTTGTGAAAAGTCAGTAATTTTTTTTTTAATGAAATTCCCTCTCTGCTGAATTCTGTGAAGCGAACTGTGGATCTTCATTTGTAAGTCTCTTGACTAACCACAMAAGTCACAGCAGCTGCTTGTAAAGGAAAAGAACTGTGTGAGCCAAGAGACAGAAAGGGAGACAAGTTTTTTTAGGAATGACTCCATTCCTAGGGACTACCATAAGCACAAAGAGCCATGGGAAAAAGGAAGGGAAAAAAMCACAGTTAAAGAACCAGCCAGATTTTCTGTAGCCACTGAACTCTGTGTTTTTGGCTGCACAGCACCAGTGCCTGTGGTTTGACACCCCTGAGAGCCCGTGAAATCTCGTGTATGTACAAATACACGTCGTGTCCTGTCAGCACGTGCAGCATTGTCCAAGCAGGAGCTGGAGCAGGAGCAGGAGCAGGAGCAGGATTTGGAGCTGGAGCAGGATTTGGAGCAGGAGCAGGAATTGGAGCTGGAGCACAGGCAGATGTGGGAGAAGGGAGCAGGAACCCCTGGTACACTGCACGGGAGGATGGGGTGCGGCCCACGCCGGGTCACACCTGTACTTACCTGTTCTGTACATGTCAGTATGCAAACATATCCATGAATAAAGCACACACGCATTCTCCTGAGCCCCTGCTCCTGTTTGCCAYGCCAGCATGTCCAGAGTGGTGCTGAGCTCACAGTCCTGTGCTTGAGGGAGGCTGGGAGGAATGGGGGGATGTTTTGTGCGGGTTGGAAGAGTGCTGGGGCTCAGATGAGCCATGCTGGAATCACAGAATCCCAGAATATCCTGAGCTGGAAGAGACCCACAGGATCATCCAGTGCCAATCCTGACCCTGCCCAGACCCCCCAAATCCCCCCGTACATCCCTGTCAGTGCTGTCCCAATGCTCCTGCAGCTCTGGGACCGTTCCCTGGGGACCTGGGCAGTGCCAGCACCGTCTGGGGACAGCAGAACCTTTCTCCACCCTGCCCATACCCTGACACAGCTCCAGCCATTCCTGGCTCCTGGCCCTGGTCCCAGGGAGCAGAGATTGGAGCTGCCTCTCCAAAGGAGTGCACTCAGCCCTGGGTCTCCCCTCAGCCCCAAACCCAGCTCCAGGCTGAAGTGTCCCAGCAGGGAGGGGTGACAGGGGAAAAACAGCTCTGCTCTCATGAAAGACTTCAGTGCCAGGGGAAGGGGACGTGAGTGCCCAACAGGTCCTGGTGTGTTTGTGTTTGCTCTGGGGGGAAACACGCACAGGTTTGGGAGCAATTCGGGGCGGATTTGGCTCAAAGCTGGTGCCAGCACAGGAAGAGGGAGGCACTGAAGATGTAGGAGGGATGGGAATAATTGCACCTGCAGTTAGGGGACTGCGGGGCCACTAATGCCAAGATGTCACTGTGTGACCCACTGAGGGGAAATAACTGGGAAAGGCTGATGCTGCACTCCTGTGCCAGGCACGGGAGGAGGGAGATGGAGGAGAAGGGACGGTGACAGTTCATGCCAGCCAGGAAGACTTCTGTTTGTGCCATGAGCATCTGTGAGTTATTTTTGGCAACTTAAAAAAAATAAAAGAAATCACAGGGAAATTGATTGGAGGCAAATGGAATGTTTTCTTACCAATTCTGGGTGGGGGAAAAAATCTAGAAAACAAATTTATATAAAATGTATTTAACAATAATGAGTGAAATTCAAGTCAGTTCTTATACACAAAGTGAGTTCAAGGTTGAACACATAAATGTTGCACTTTTTCCTCCCAAAAATCATGTTTGCCTCCACGCGTGCATGGGGCAGCTGAGGATGCAGAGGAGGAGCAAACCTTGAGTGTTAGGGATGGACTCGGACTCTCCTCAAAGCCAGGCCAGGGTTATTCTGACTCGAGGAGGAGCAAACCTCGAGTGTTAGGGATGGACTCGACTCTCCTCAAAGCCAGGCCAGGGTGATTCTGACTCCAAGGGTGATTCCTGTGGAAGCTCCAGCCGGGTGACCCTGCAGTGTTCTGTGAAAGCCTTGCAGCTCCAGGGGATTTTCCCCGGCTCTTGGCAGGCAGCCACTGACCAGCCACCCAAAAAGCTGCTGGGACAGTCCAGGGGGTGACAGTCCCTGCTGGGCTCAGGGGTGACAGTCCCTGCTGGGCTCAGGGGCTCAGGGGTGACAGTCCCTGCTGG